AAGAGAAAAAGAAGTGCTAATGGAAAAGTTGAGACTTATAAAGCAAGGCTAGTGGCAAAAGGATACAACCAAAAGGAGGGTATTGATTTTGATGAAACTTTCTCTCCTGTTGCTATGGTTAAATCTATACGTTTAATTTTATCCATTGCTGCATATTATGACTATGAAATTTGGCAAATGAATGTCAAGACGACTTTTTTGAATGACTATATTGAAGAAAGAATTCATATGAAATAGCCAGAGGGTTTCATAATAGAAGGTCAAGAGCAAAAAGTTTGCAAACTACAAAGATCTATATATGGATTTAAGCAAGCTTCAAGGTCATGGAATATAAGATTTGATGAAGCAATTAAATCTTATGGATTTGATCAAAGCTTAAATGAACCTTGTGTTTACAAATACTTTAAAAATCAAATAGTTGTGTTCTTAATTCTTTACGTAGATGATATTCTACTTATTGGGAATAATACTGAATTATTATTTGACGTAAATAAATGGCTAGCCAAATAATTCCAAATGAAAGATTTGGGAGAGGCAAGTTTTATACTTGGGATAAAACTAATAAGAGATCGCAAAAATAAAATATTAGCACTTTCTCAAGCATCCTATATTGAAAAGATTCTTATAAGATTTGGGATGCAAAACTCCAAGAAATGAAATATGCCTTCACGTCAGGAGTTTATCTTTCTAAAAAGTAATGTCCTCAAATACAACAAGAAAAAGATGATATGCTACAAGTGCCTTATGCATCATCAGTTAGTAGTCTCATGTATGCAATGTTGTGTACAAGACCTGACATTTGTTATGCTGTAGGCATAGTTAGTAGATATCAATCTAACCTAGGAAGGTTTCATTGGGTGGCAGTTAAGCATATACTTAAATATCTTAGAAGAACTAAAGAATATATGCTTGTGTATTCTGGAAGTGATTTGATCCCTACATGATACAATGATGCTGACTTTCAATCAGATAGAGATGAAAGTAAATCCACATCTAGCTCAATATTTATTTTAGGAGGTGGAGATATAGTTTGGAGAAGTATAAAACAATCATGTATTTCTGACTCAACTGTAGAAGCTGAATATGTGGCTGCTGTAGAAGCGGCTAAAGAAGCAGTTTGGCTCTGTAATTTTCTAATAGAATTGAAAGTTGTTCCAAATTTTAAAAAACCTCTAACACTATTTTGTGATAATAGTGCAGCTATATCAAATACAAAAGAAGCCAGAAATCATAAAAGAGCAAAGCATATAGATAGAAAATATCATTTGATAAGAGAGATTGTGAAAGATGATAAAGTATCAGTACAGAAGATAACATCACAAGAGAATATTGCTGATCCTTTTATCAAGACACTGCCTGAAAGAATTTTTCATAAACATGTACAAGAAATGGGATTGAGAAAGATGTCTCATTTACTTTAGGGCAAGTGGGAGTTTGTTAGGGTTGTGCACTAAAAAAATATTATTGTAATATATTTTCTATGGAAATAAATATTTAAAGACAAGTTTAGCATGTTTCGATATTATCATTTGATATAATATTTTTGTTCCATGATTATTTATGCAACCATAATTCAGTATATAATTATATACAAGAGGATTGAATTATGAATAATAATTAAAACAAGTTTATAACTATTAATTATAGTTGGAATCTATAATTAAATATTATTAGTACGGTCCATCAACATTAAGAATGGAATAATCTTATCCAGATTATTCGATATTGAGATATTAAGGATGGAGGTACTTTATATAATATGATTATATAGAACTGGACCAGATAAATTTTGAATTCTATAATAAATTCTGTTTTAATTATAGAGAATTTAAAATTAATCATAAAGATGATCATATATAAAACAATCTTAATCCTGAGTTATTAATAAACTCCTATTTGTGACATTTAGTTTTTTGATTTACTCGGAAATAGTTTGGAAGATATAAACTCAATCCTTGTATTTCAGAAACACAATGAAACAAATGGCTGGGAATGTTAATATATATATATGGAATCCATTACTTTCAATTTTGAAAGTTAGAAAATTAGTTCTCTTGAATAATTAATTCAGAACTTGAATAATTGAGCGCTCAAATTTTGTGACTAGGTCATAAAGTTTATTGTTCATTAGAGAATTAATTGTAATTCAAGGATTAAGATATAATTAGTGAGGTGACAGAATTACCTAGCTCTAATTATTAACTTTTTATGGAGAATTATTTTATATGTAATGATTAAATCAATGGACGATTCAATTTTTTAATTGAGTAAATTACACTATAATTTCAAGAGTGCAATTTCATATTTATAGTAGAATAATATTGAAATTAATAATTTCGATTTATTAATTTAAGAGTTAAATTAATAATCAAATTTATTGGAGCTTGAATTATAGGTCCATAGGTCCCTTCTTCATCACCTAAGCTCTATTATATATTGAACATTAAGAATGTGACATAATATAAATGTTAATTATGATCACATTAATAAAATATTTATGATCACATTTTAATTTTATATTTCATGAAGATAATGATGACTTATCGTTAATACTTTTTTAATATTAAAAGATAAAGATAAGATTGATGATAAGTCATGATGTGCATGATAATTATCATCAAATATCTTTTAATATTAAAAAGATATAGATAAGATTAAAGATAAGATTGATAATGTGTCATGATAATTATCATTTTAATGTTAATTAAAAATACTTCATAAAATACTAAGAGGTGCTTATGAAAAGATGTGAACTTTTCTTATAAATAAGAATTATGTTCTACATGAAGATGATGATGATACATAATTCCTTCATGAGAGATGAAAGAATATGTTTGAGAAGAATGTTGCTCTCATTGTCTTTTCTTTTGAAGGATTAAATTGTGTTTAGAACATAAATTAGATTCAAAAGAAAAAGTGTTCATCAATAGTTGATTGATTGTGCCCACTCACTAAAATATATTTTGTGGGGTGATTAGATGAAGAAGGTTTACGGTCTCAATCAACATTTCGACGAAGAAGATCTCAAATCTCAATCAATAATTCGGTAAAGTTTTCTTCATTTCATATTATAAAGTTATTTATTAAGAAAATTAATATTGAGAATGTCTTAATTTAATTTTCTAAAAATCCTGATTTTTATTTCCGCATTTTATATTATGATATAAAAATTCCAACACTTATCTCTTGAAAGCAGCATAAGGAGTTGCTTATCATGAATCCAGAAATGAAATTGAAACAGATTTTGCTCAGTAGGTTCAAATTTTCATTATTCATTAGATGATAATATTAGTTTAGTTGAATCTTTTTTGAATTGTAAATATTTTTTTCAAAGGTTTCATTCACACCTAATTTATATCAAGTAGACCTTGTTGTGAGAATTCCTAATTTATGAGTCGTAGGGTGGGACTTATGTCACCACCACAGGCGGATCCAGGCACAGCTGAGGGTGGGCAAATGCCCACCCTAAAAAAAAAAAAAATGTGCTGCGGAGGGGTAGTTTTGCTAGTATGCCCCCCCCTAAAAAAAATTTATTTGCCCTAATCTCAGCCATTGCCCCGTTCGCATTTTATTTCGCCTCACTGCCCGCAGCCACTTCGTTAAAACTGAAGAGGTCGTCGTCTCGTCGAAACTCGTCGTCGTCGCCTCGTCGGAGAAGCTGCAGGCGGACTGACTGGCGGAGCACTCTCGAGTCTCGATCACAGTTGCAGCCACCGTCTTCTTCGTCACTTCGCCAGTTCGCGCCGTCTAAGCGTATTCGTGAAGAGGTCGCCGAACGGAAAATATGTTTTCTGCTTATGATAAGGGAAAATTGATTCGTCTTGCAGAATTATATCCAGCAGATTTCTCTATGATTGATCTTGTGTCTCTTGAGCATCAACTATCAACTTATATTGTTGATATGCGTACTAGCGAGGAGTTTACTTCTTTAACTAGCATTGCTGCTCTGGCAAAACAGATGGTAAAGGATAAAAAAAATGTTGTGTATCCACTAGTTTATAAACTTATTATTTTTGCACTGGCATTACCAGTTGTTACTGCTACGATGGAGAGAGCATTTTCTGCAATGAAGATCATTAAGCATCGACTTCGTAGCAAAATGGGTGATGCCTGGCTTAATGACTGTCTAGTGCCATATATTGAAAAAGAAGTATTTGATTATGTTCCGAATGAAGTCATTATGCAACATTATCAGAAAATACAAAGTAGAATGCAAAGTCTGTAACTTTCTTTTTAATTTCAAAAATTATGATGAAATTAATGCTTTGTTTTGAATTTTGTTAGTGAAATATATCTATAATTTTTGTATTTATATTTTTATATATATCGGGTTTGCCCACCCTAAAAAAAAGGGCTGGATCCGCCACTGGTCACCACAAACATTGATGCTAATTTGATAGTTGGTAAAAAAGCCTATAAATATTGTTAAGATTATACATTTACAAATATCTTGACCGGAGGGCTTCTTCTTCACCTCAAAAGCTCCCACAAATTTAGAATAATTCAGCACATGCTATGAAATTAATAAAAATCGCCTCAAGCCAATAAAGCAGGTGGCCACCATACACATTGGAGAATGACACCAATGAAGTTTGCGGGGCGGTTGACACTATAGGAAAAAACAGAAGCTCAATTATTTATGGTGTTGAGATTCGTGCAAGAATGCATCCATCATCAGCACCACGTTGGACAAATACGGCATGAGTAGCGTCGTTAAGATTCGTGCGATTATCCCCATTGTTAGAAGAATAACCAATCATGCAGCGAATCACGAGTTGTGTGTGTCAATCTCAAAGCAAATACAAATGCCGTAATCACGTCGGATGAAGGAATGTGTTAGAATGGTATGGCCCGATCCTTCTCGTCCTGATTGGCCGCCTCGTCGGCCTAAAAAGAGCTCCGAATCTCGCACGCGCACTGCCCCGTGGCCGATGGGCCCCACTCCACTTCTTAGGCCAGTCCCATATCTGAATAAAATAACAATTATCAGAATTCTTTTTCAAAACATTTTGATATTCCTTCAGGCTACAGTGTCTTAGTCACTCCCGCAATAGCTCGCTCTGTTCCTCGCTCGCTTCGTTTCCTCCCTTCTTCAGGCAGCGCGGCTCTCCGTTTCTCTTCACCTCTGCATCCCTCTGCGCCTGCCGCATTCCCTTCTTCCCTGAATCCTTCAAGGGGCATCAGATCCGTCGCTAGTTCCACGCCGTAGCGCGATCTTTTAAGGGATGTGAGGGTAGATCGGGGAGTGTTATAGAGAGAGTGATGGAGGCGATGCAGAAGCTAGCGGCGCCGAACGCTAGCGCGGGGAGTAACTACGGATCAGGCCTTGCTATTGTCACAGTCGCTGGGGCGGCGCCGGAGCAGTTTCCGGCTGGGCTTAGGGTACTCGTGGTCGACGACGATGTTACGTGCCTGAAGATCCTCGAGCACATGCTCCGGAAGTGCCGGTACCACGGTGAGTTGAACTTTGACCTAGCTGTCTTGGGCGTTCAACGGGGCCAATTTAGGGTTTCTTGGGTGTGTTTTTTGCTTAACTTGTTTTTGCGGAGTTGTGGAGTTCTGAATTTGCTTATAGTTGTTGGATATGCTTGCTTGAGTGGCTGAGCTGCTGATGAGCTGAGTAGGGAAATAGCTTGTGCGAGGAGGTTTTTTCCGTCTTTTGGCGAAATATGGCGAGATGATATGAAATATAATTCTTTTGGAAAGGAAAATAAATTAGCAAAACTTTTTTGAATTTATGTTTTAAATCCCGTAAGTTTATTTATTTATTCCTTATTTTGTTTTCTTTGCGGGGTTTTGGCGTTGAAATAAGGAGATAGGGTATTGGAACTTGGAAGCCGTTGTTGCTTTGTTGCTTATCGTTTTCGAGGAAAAAAAACATCCATATTGCTCATGGAGGCTTTTGCCCCTTGATTTATCTTACTCTCTTAGTGATAGTTATAATCTTGATGAACTTCTTGTTGGTTTACCAAGTGTTTCATGGGAATGAACGAGTTAAAAAGAGTTTATTATTTCGGTCTCTGGTTATCTTTTGTTATTTAGTGAACTTAAAAAAAATCATGCAATAGTCGGAAATTACGACATCTTCTGTGGCATGATGGTCATGCTTTTGGCAGAGCTGCCGATAAATAATCTGGAGGCTTCTAAAATTGCAATGATCCATGTAAAATTCATGGCACATCTTCTGAACAAAGCTTCATGATGATTTCAAGTGTTTTGATTCTTAGGGGCAGTTTGGTTAAAACTAGGCTTTAGTAAATCATGTAAATTCAGATTTAGTAAATCTTGATAGGATTAAAAATTGAACACTGTCTGGAATTGCAATTGTTAATGTACTGTTTAGCTGCTAGTAGGACTTAGCAAATCCTGTTAATCTAGATATAATAACTCTTGAGAGGATTAAAACCTTAAAACCCTTTGACATGACATTTGTTAAACCTGACTTAATTTCTGTAAATTATTTGAATGTCTTTATTCTATTTAAGATTTATAAAAAAGAAATCCTTACATTCGTTAAATCTTGGGAATGGTAGAATTTAATAAATTCTTGGATTTAACTGATAATTAGCCAACATGAGATCTATCAACTCATTAGGATTTAAAATTCACAAAATTCTATTTGAAGGATTTAAGCTAGATCTTGTTTAAATCTTGTTTAAAATGGGATACCAAACACCCTGAAAATCTTGCTAAATATTGATAATTTTTTTTTATTTGCTTCAAGATTTTAGAATTGTAACAGGAGGAATCCTTAAAATCGTGAAATCCTATAAATAGTGGTATTTTAAAAATTTTGAATTTAACCAATACTGAGGTTGAAAAGTAGTTTATTGAAATAATGATAATTTAAGTTCCAAAAATTCTGTTTGGCTGGATTTAGGCTCAATCATGCTTAAATCCTACTTAAATTAGGATACCAAATAGCTCATTAGATTAAATTATTTTATACACCATGTAGGCCTAGTAGTCTTGTGGAAAATTTGCCATCTATAATAATATGAAGGAATTCTTGTTATACTTAACTATTTAATACTTAGCTTGGTTCGCATCTATTTTTGCTTTCATGAAGCTTGCATATATTAACAAGATTTTGAAGTTGTGCAGTTATTACTTGTTCTCAAGCCATGATAGCATTATCCCTTCTTCGAGAAAGGAAGGGCTGTTTCGATGTGGTTATCAGTGATGTTCACATGCCCGATATGGATGGGTTTAAGTTACTTGAACTTGTTGGTCTTGAAATGGATCTTCCCGTTATTAGTAAGTAATTGGATTTATTTTTATGTGATTGGTACTTTTTCTAGCAGGCTTACTAATCTTTTTTTTAATAAATATGTAGTGATGTCAGCGGATGGGAGAACTAGTGCTGTTATGAGAGGAATAAAACATGGGGCATGTGATTATTTAATTAAGCCTGTAAGGATGGAAGAGTTAAAGAATGTTTGGCAGCATGTCGTTCGAAAGAAGTGGAATGAAAGTAAAGATGTAGAAAATTCAAGTAGTTTTGAGGATTCCGACCGCCAAGGACGAGTGGCTGATGAAAGTGAATATGCGTCTTCAATGAATGAAGGGACAGATGCCTCATGGAAAACTCAGAAAAAAAAAAGAGATTCTAAAGATGAGGAAGATGATATTGAACTGGATAATGAAGATCCTTCAGCATCAAAGAAGCCACGAGTGGTGTGGTCAGTGGAACTTCATCAACAGTTTGTTAACGCTGTCAACCAAGTTGGCATAGACAGTATGACCAAATTTCCTTTCTACCTAATATAATATATTTATACTTTATAATTTACTTGAATATTTGATTGAGGCTTAAAACTGCTGCTTTAAGCTATTTACAAAATTTATTCAATAATGGATTTATAAATTATATGCAGAAGCTGTCCCAAAGAGAATTCTAGAGTTAATGAATGTTCCTGGTTTAACAAGGGAAAATGTAGCAAGCCACTTGCAGGTGTTGATATCTCTTGTTTACATGCTGCTTCTCTCTTTTCGCTAAACCGTCAGCTTGTCCCTTTTTTAATGAAGAAATTATTATTGTCTTGCAATATTTAAAGTGTTGATAACAAAAATCTATTTCTTTCTTATTTGTTTGGAAGTCGATGCTATTTTATTCTAATTTTAATTTGATTTTATTTGAAGCAGTATTTTAATTTTAAGTTAGTGCATTGTGTCAGCATTGCTACTATCATTTTGAACAATATTTTCTACATTTTAAATTTCTTTAGATGACTTGCTTCATTGCTTCTTTATTCTAAATGAACTTTTAGGGGTATTTACATGAATACCACTGCAATGATCTATTCGTATATTTAATCCCTAAATGTCATTATTTACTCACATAACATTGTAAAATTTTAATTACGTCCAAACTACCATCTTCTTATCATTTCATGGTGCAATTTAGAGCACTTTTTTTAGGGCCTTTGGGGTAATTGAGAACTTTTGAATACTATTTCATATTTTATGCATCGATGTTATAACGGGATGGGGATTCATATCTTTTTGTGGTGTTGATTAAAGATGTGAGAACTTGTGGAAATTTTCTTGCAAATTGTAATTGCTTCTTGCATAGTACAGGTGGCTTTACATAGTTTCCATTTGCTGTAATGCTTTTTTTAATGCGATAGAGTTTTGCTAGAATTTTGCGTAAATGCAGGTGTTGGATTGTAAAGAGACTAGAAAAATTGCACGTTTAGAAGTTAGAACATTAAAATAAATGTCTGGCAAAAGTAAAAAAAAAAAAAAACAAGAAAAGAATTCTTACAATAGTGGGACATGAGAGTGTTTTTTATTGAAGATAGCAACAACAATAACAAATCTTTATTCAACTGCGTGGGGTCAGTTATATGAATACTCTATCTCCATTATGTCTTATTAAGACTCAAATTCTCAATTAAATCTAATAAAAAAAGATAATTTCTAATAGTCTCTAACCAAGTCTTTTTTATGTCTACCTTTATCTTTTTTAAACGTACTCGAATCTAATACATTTACTCTCCTAATAGGGTCATTGAAAGGCTGATGTTTTATGTGATCAAACCATCTAAGGTAACTCTCTCTAACAAGGTTTAAAAAGGCAAAATCAGGAATCAAGGCGATTATTCTAAGTGAGCCGAGATGTAAGCCTCAAGGCGAATCAAAGCGTAACCCTCAAAATGAGAAAATAAAGTACTTACAAAATTATAAATAACTTATAAAAATGAGAAAATATTAAGAAAATGATGAACATAATGATTAGTTTGAAAGTAAATGTTATTGGAACATAAGATTCAAATTAAATACTCACTTAAAACTTAAACAAGCCCCTATGGTCAAGTTCCACGACAATCTCATCGTCACTTTGACAATCTTTAGAAGAATCCTCATTGTAAAGTGCAATATCAACATGTAAAGCAACACATTGAAATGATGTAAACTGTCATGCTTAGTTTTTGGACATAGAAAAGCAAATACTGGACGTGTCTCTTTTTTCTTAAATGTTTTGTCCAACAATAATTCTTGGTCACCAACTAGCATTAGGTAATGATAATGACATGCATTAATTATCACTGAATGATGGTATATGCCAACATAGATTGATAATGGACATCAACATAGATTGATGGCATATATCAACACCTACAAATCCCAATGCAAAGTACTGGTAAGGAAAGCTTTGGAATTCTCATGCCAAGAGTTCTTTCAATCAAAAAGTCCTCATCTATCTAAGAAAATAGCATATTCATAAATTTTTATAAGCAGTATTCCGACCACTTCGATCAAGAATTATTACACCTCATCAAATAATATGAATGCACCCCACTTGGTCAAAACATATTTTTTTGAACATCTCATCATCTCACAGAACATCAAATGACCAAAAGAAATTTTTAATTATCCTTTTAGCACTTGATCTAGTCCTGTTTAAACTCAGGTTATCTTTCCTAATTCATCTTGTCAAGCCACATCATATTAACTATAAATCTAAAGAAAACATAATTTTAGATGATCTCAAAGTTCATTTAAAAGGTTTCTTGCTTGATAAATTTTTTTTAGTTAAATATCAATTATAAGCTTTTAAAATATAATCATAATTTGACCAAAAAGATTAAACCGCATAAATTAGTGTTAAAAAGTGTATAATAAGGTATTAGTAATTTCACTATGTGGGGTTGACTATATGAATCCTTTTTCTCCATTGTGTTTTGTTAAGAGTCAAATTCTCATTTAAATCTAATAAAGAAAAGTAATTTCTAATATTTTCTAACCAAGTCTTTAGGTCTACCTCTACCTTTCTTAACATAGCCAAATCCAATACATTGTCTAAAATTGCGTAATATGAGGAGCACTTGAGGCCCTCCTTAGTGCAATTCTAGTAAAAAATATCTCGAGGCTTACGCCTCATCTTGGATGAGGCCCACCTTGAGGCACGCCTCGCCTCGCTGGCATGAGGTGTACACCTCACTCTATTTATTAATTATTTTATTTAAAATTTACCTAAATCCTATTCAAAAGCAAAAAAAAAATCATGTCTTCTTGCACCCTTAAGCTGCAACAACTTCATCTCAATTACCTCAACCTCCAGCCCATCACCTTCACCATAGACACCACAATCGTAGCCGCCACAGGGAATCACTAGAAAGCTGCATGCCACCACCAACTCCTCTTAAAATTTTGAAGTATTATATTTATGTTGATGACAAATATTTATGAAAGATGAAGATGACTGAAATAAATGAAGAAAAAATAGATTGATAGGTATTGAACCATATAGGGTGAGGCAAGGAAGAGACCAATTTGTTATGATAGTGATTCAAATAAAAATCCCCTTAGTAATGATAATACAAATGATTTCTGAGTTGTTTTCAATTATTTTAACTTTCTTTAGAAATTAAACATAGATGAGTAGGCTACTAAGAAAGGAAAAAAAAAGCTAAACTTGATGTTATATGATACTTTTATGCTATTCATATATTTTATATTGTTTTGTTCCTATAATATTTAGATTTCAATTCTCTTTCATATCATTTATCATTTAACACTTTATATCTTATATAATTTTTTGTTTTATATGTATGTAAATTTATCATTTCATAGTTTAATAGAAAGCTAATATGTCATCATTTAACATATTATTTGAACATTATATAAAAAAATACTTTTAACTTTTATTTTCAATTTACGCAATTTTTAGATTTTTGAGGCTTACGCCTCAAAACGACTTGAGACGTACACCTCACCTCACAAATGAAAAACGCCTCAATACCCAATTGTGCAATTTTAAACTTTGTCCAATATATCTACTTTCCTAACCGGTTCATCAGAATACCATCGTTTTATGTGACCAAACCATATAAGGTGACTCTCTCTAATCTTATCTTCCTCAGGAGTTACTGCCAACCTTTTCATGTATATGCTAATTTCGTATCCTGTCTCTAAGAGTAAAGCCACTCATCCACCTAAGCATCCTCATCTCTGCAATACTTAAGTTATTATTATGCTTCTCTTTTAATGGCCAACATTATGCACCATCAAACATTGTAGGTCTCACCACCATCTTATAGAATTTTACCTTGAGTTTGAGGTGGACTTTTCTATCACACAACAAGCTTGATTCATTCCTCCACTTCCAACTATCCAACTTGAATTATAATAATAATATCCCCATCTATGTCACCGTCACCCTTAACAATAGACCCAAGATATCTAAAATCATAAGCTAAGCAAAATATTATGGTCCTCCTACCTTCATTAGTTGCTTCAAACCCATAACATCTGTGAATGCTTTTAAAATTTTCTACCACCCTACAATATGTCCATTTAAATCTTCTACAATAAAAAATACTTCTTCTTGAGGTATCATTTGCATTAATTCCATGTTATTTCAAAATTTTAATTTTGAACATATATCCAAACCTACTTGAGGAGCATAAACACTTGTTGTTATATTTATTTATTAATAACCTTGCTCGAAGGACAAAGTTTAATAGAGCCCCTAGATGAAACCTATTGTTTGCCTAGGAAAAATAGGCGCAAATCTTGCTCTTACAAGCTTAAGGTCCCTTCTTTCCCTGAGATAGATTGGATTTAAAGTTTAATCATATTTCTCCTTAGTGTTAGGTTTAATTTATACCTGGTTTCTATTTCCCATGAGCACAAGCCCTCATAGCTATGTTACACCGATACACATATTTATGAAGGTGTACTATATCCAATACACCGATACACGGATACGCATCCGATCGGCATCGATACATGTCAGATACGACAAAGCCGTATCCAATTAAAATACTATTAAATTTCAAAAAGACGCGTATCGGATACACGAGTCTGTTGAAAAAAAAAGACGCGTTGTATTTACTTCCGCGGCAGCGAGTGAGGTTCTCTCATTTCCAGGATTTATTTGAGTCTCTTAATGATATGAGAATATTAGAAATTGCAAATCTTTCACTTGATGAGCCTGAATTAGAAGCCATAATATTTATTGAAGATGATATAAAAGTTCAAAGACAAACCACTGAAGAAGCTAATCATATCATTCCTTTTATTGAATAGTTGAAACTTCATGTGCTAGACAATTTATGTTTATGCTTTTTGTTGTTGTACTAGACATTTAATGCTTACTTTTATTTTGATATTATAAGCTACAAAATTACAAATGATTTTGTTTTTTTTTTTGTAATTTCAAATATTATGCTTTGATTGATTTCTTAATTTTTATGTATGATTTATAAATTATAATGCCGTGTCCACGCCGTACCCGTATCCTGTATTTTTAAGAATGATGTGTCTCGTGTCCGTATCGTGTTGTATCCGTGTCGCTGTATCCGTATCGGTGCAACATAGCCTCATTGTTAATTACCTATTCTAACGCGTAGAAGAGTACTCTCGATTAAGGATGAAATTATATTTAGTCCGTGGATGAAGTGCAGATGTGTGTGCAACAGTGTGTGAATGTTCTAAACTTTATTT